ATTTATAATTGTAAAAGGTTATCACACTGGGAATGCAAGTCATAGTGGTCCGAGAGCCCTAATATCTATAAAAGATCATGGGTTCGAAAACGGAAAGAAACACAAAAAGTATGTAAAAGTAAGAAAAATAATAAGTATAAAAGGCTGCATCTTTTTGTTAATCTAGTTAATAATAATATGCATGCAAAGCTACTATATACCTGACTGAAAACTGGTGCTGATAACGTGTTAAATGTTTACCGATAGAAAGTCTTTAATCAGTGAAAGGAGAAAGTGAAGGAGAAGAAGTAAAGAGGATCAGTGAAATTGTAGTATGTTATTATTATTGCCTCATATGACACCCTATATATATAGCTAATACTTCTATACTAAAAGTACAATTCAATCATGCTCATATATTGCCATATAAGTTCACAAGGGTTGGACTTATATGTGCATTGCAACATCAAATCAATGATTGGCATTCACATTGTCTTCTAACAGATTTGGGATATTATCAACATGCCCAATTCTACCTTAAAAACCCGAAACTTAAAGCAACAAACATTGCTACATTTACCCGTTGAATAAATAATTGTATTCCAAAACTAATAAACCATCAAAAACTTAATTGATTACAATTGGATTCCACTATAACCAATCTTGATTAGGGTCGGATAATTACCCGATTGAGTTAACCAAGCTTTCTTCTTTTGCATTGCATTACTATTTTCTGGACCATCTAATAATAAAGTACAAAAAAGCCTTCATAAATTGTTAAGCCAATCACATAATATTACCTCAAAAAAAAAAACCACATAATATAATCAGAAGATTAATAAAGGTAATAATTGTAGTTATTACTCTTTATTAATCCGACCAAATTACTATCCACACATATTCGCACGTGCCAAAGCCGACCAACAACCTCCACGTGTGTACCTCGGGTACCCAGGTAAAAAAAATTTACTTTTAATTTTTTTTTTACTGCTTTTTATGGACATTGTAACTGCATTTTTCCAAATTTACAGTTTTACATATCTTAATATAAAGCGTTCTTTTCTATATAGTCTTACACTTTTGCCAGTCCAACAAAATTTAGTTTCCCAAATTCCATTAATATATTTTCTATAATCTTTTATTTTATTTATTTGTTTTTATTTTTTGGGGGAAAGAATTGTTATCATAGAAAACAATAAACAAATATTTTCTCAAATAAATGCAAAACCATATTTACAGTTACCTGACTTCAGTCTTCAACAAATTTCCTGTTTGTTTTGAGTTGGTAAGCAACTTTGCTTCTTCCCATCAACCCCACTTTTTTACTTCAACAAAATCATATTTATTTCCCTTTTTTTTTGTTGAGAATTTTTTGTTATTTTTGTTAAACCAAACACTACTTTAGCTTTTAATTTTACAAGTAAAATGAAATGCAGATCTGCCTCTTCTTTTTGCTTCTGTAAGTTTATCTTATTTCATGCAAAGTTTGTGTTTTTAACAATTACCATTTGCTGAAACTAAATAAATATGAGATCAGAGTATGCACGTATTTGCATACCCTGTATGAAAATCCTGAATCCGCCACTGGATAGACATACATAGACTTGTCATCATGGTTATTTTTCTCTTGTATGCTTCTTTCTGCAATAACACATGTTTCAGACTTTCAGTCTTTTTAGCTTAGTAATACTGTAATGTAACTTTGTTTCATTTTTTCTGTATAATAATGCAGGTGTTCTTGCTGTCTGAATCAGACTGTAAGTACTATTTTTAAGAGTTTGCTTCACTGAAACACTTCACTTTTGCTAAATTTTATTCAGTTACTTTCTTCTTTAATCCCTTTGAATTGTCTGCCATTTTTTTTTGCTTTTGACTGTTGCCAATTTTTTTCAGTTTACTTGCTGATTACTCTAATGACTTCCCTTAAGATACCATGTTCTTGCCTTCTTGGTTCTTAATAGACTAAACCCCATTATTTCAACTCAATACTTCCATAAACAAGAGATCATACATTAAATTTTGTGAATTGTGAACGCGTTTTTGTAAGTTTTTAAAATGAAGCCGGCTCCTCCCCTGGAGGAGTTTGCTCTGAAGGAGACTTCTCCGGCGATAGGTATGGCAGGGTTAGCAGGGGATAAGCTAACCTCTACCTATGACCTGGTGGAGCAAATGCAGTATCTTTATGTTCGCGTAGTTAAAGCTAAGGAGCTACCTGGGAAGGATGTAACTGGCAGCTGTGACCCTTATGTAGAGGTTAAGCTAGGGAACTATAAAGGGGCTACTAGGCATTTTGAGAAAAACACAAAGCCTGAGTGGAACCAAGTGTTTGCTTTCTCAAAGGAACGGATTCAATCCTCTATTGTGGAGATTGTGGTGAAGGATAAAGATTTTGTTAAGGATGATTACATTGGGAGGGTTATATTTGACCTTAATGAGGTGCCGAAGAGGGTTCCACCTGATAGTCCTCTTGCACCTCAGTGGTATAGGCTTGAGGGTCGAAAAGGGGATAAGGCGAAAGGGGAGCTCATGTTGGCTGTTTGGATGGGGACTCAAGGTGATGAGGCATTTCCTGAGGCTTGGCATTCTGATGCTGCTTCTGTTGGTGGTGATGCTGTAGGGAAAATCCGGTCCAAAGTTTACCTTTCGCCTAAGCTTTGGTATGTGAGGGTTAATGTCATTGAAGCTCAGGATTTGGTGCCTAATGACAAAACCCGGTTCCCAGATGTCTATGTTAAGGCAATGGTTGGAAATCAGGGTTTTAAGACCAAACCGAGTCTAGCTAAGACCCTGAACCCTGTGTGGAACGAGGACCTGTTGTTTGTAGCTGCTGAGCCATTTGAAGAACCCTTGTTCTTGAGTGTGGAAGATAGGGTTGGACCAGGGAAGGACGAAACATTAGGAAGATGTTTTATTCCGTTGCATACTTTACAAAGGAGATTGGATCATAAGCCGGTGAACACTCAGTGGTACAACCTTGAAAAGCACATTATTGTCAATGGGGAAAAGAAGGAAAGTAAGTTTGCTAGCAGGATTCATCTGCGGATCTGTTTGGATGGCGGTTATCATGTGTTGGATGAATCTACTCATTATAGTAGTGATCTAAGGCCAACTGCCAAGCAATTGTGGAGGCCGAGCATTGGAATTCTGGAGCTCGGGATTCTAAGTGCTCATGGACTTATGCCAATGAAAAACAAGGATGGAAGAGGGGCAACTGATGCCTACTGCGTGGCTAAGTATGGCCAGAAATGGGTTCGAACAAGAACCATCATTGACAGCTTTCATCCCAGATGGAATGAGCAATACACTTGGGAGGTTTTTGATCCTTGTACTGTTATTACAATTGGGGTGTTCGATAATTGCCATCTGCATGGAAATAATGGAACGAGAGATTCAAGAATTGGGAAGGTGAGGGTGAGGCTTTCAACCCTTGAAACAGATCGAGTTTATACACATTCATACCCTCTTATAGTCTTACATCCTTCAGGAGTTAAAAAGATGGGTGAAGTTCAATTGGCAGTGAGGTTTTCTTGCTCATCATGGATCAACATGTTGCATATGTATTCTCATCCACTGCTACCCAAAATGCATTATGTTCATCCATTATCTGTCATACAGCTCGACAGCTTGAGACACCAGGCTACACAAATTGTCTCAATGAGACTCAGTAGAGCAGAACCTCCTTTGAGAAAAGAGGTTGTGGAGTATATGTTGGATATCGATTCTCATATGTGGAGTATGCGAAGGAGCAAAGCAAACTTCTTCAGAATCATGAATGTTCTAAGTGGGATGATTGCAGTTGGCAGATGGTTTGATCAAATCTGCAACTGGAAAAACCCAATCACCACTGTTCTTATTCACATTCTCTTCATAATCCTTATTGTTTATCCTGAACTGATTTTGCCCACTATGTTTCTCTATCTTTTCTTGATTGGCATTTGGAACTACCGATGGAAGCCTAGGCACCCACCTCATATGGATACTCGGCTCTCACATGCTGATGTGGCACACCCTGATGAGCTCGATGAGGAGTTTGACACTTTCCCTACTTCTCGGGGGAATGAACTCATTAGGATGAGGTATGATCGGCTAAGAAGTATAGCAGGGAGAATTCAGACCGTTGTGGGAGACTTGGCAACTCAAGGTGAGAGATTTCAGTCACTGCTCAGCTGGAGAGATCCAAGAGCTACTGCATTGTTTGTTACATTCTGTTTGGTAGCTGCAATTGTGTTGTATATAACTCCTTTCAAAGTCGTCATCCTTATCTATGGCATCTACGTGCTGAGGCACCCTAGATTCCGGAAGAAGCTTCCGTCAGTTCCAATCAACTTCTTCAGAAGGCTACCTGCAAGAACTGACAGCATGCTGTGAGAAAAGCTATTTACTGCACTTTGTTCATTCATATGTAATCTGATATAATGTGGTTAATTAATGTTCAATTCAACAGATTTATTAGTTTTCTTTTAAAATTGTCCTAAGGTTTGCTGTTTGAATGTGGTAATTTTTAGTAGAAGATCATGATTTTGAATTATTTTGACAGTCTTCTGCTGTATTCACTTAACTAATCTGAAAATGTAATATTTGACATGTCTACATGTATTATATAACTTTCTGATCAACATCATTAAGCATGAAATATATAACTATGATGAGGATTGATGCGACGATGATGTTAAGAATTTTCGAAGGATATATGGTCCCTATTCAACTTTCTACCCAACAGGCAGCTTTGAAGGGCCATTTTTCCATTGAAATGTCATGATTGTTTACTTGCTTTTGCTTTTTGTTGAACTTTATGCAATTAATCTTGCACTACTACAGTACTACTTATTTCAACATCTGAAAAAAGCTCCATTTATCTGTAAAAGCCAAAGCATCTTCACTGCTTTGTTGTTATTGTGCTACCTGGTCTTTGATGCCCTTTTGCGAATGCATATACTAGGTAGGAGTACGTAGCTCCTAGTTTTACAAGCAACGATAACAGTAAGCTATTAATTACAAAAATGAACATCTTATGGATTAAATTTAAAACAAGCTTCTCAAACACCATGTACTGAGAATTGGTATCCACTTATTTACGAAATTTAACTTCCCTTAAGCAAGGGTAAAAGCATACAACGGGTAATCAAATTCGAAAACTAGCATGCTCAATTTTTGACCTTGTATTTCTTACAGTTTCTTCATTTCAATCACTAGCATGGAAAAACAGGGAAGACTTGAACATGGGGGACTTGATTGTGCTCTTCACCAACCGCTTCTGATATACTCCGTATCATTTATGCCTAATTCTTATCCTACACCCAAGTTGATGTAAGCCATTTCTTTCGCAGTCCAGCTTAGCCTAATTGCTTGCAGAGGCACCAAATCTTGTTAGCTGAACATTTGACATTATATACCCTTGGGAATTTGGGATGTTTTTCTACTTCCAATTTTCCATGGCTGCAGTTAAAAGAACAGAAATATGTTAAACAAGAAAGCTTGAATGTTTCATAACTACCTCATCAAAATCTTTACTTAAAAGTTGAATTCCATCAATTAACTTTTTACACACTATCCATTTAGTCCTAAATGCTACTAAATGCATCACAAATTAAATAGCTTAAAATAGTTTGATAAACCTTAAGACTTCACTCAAGCTCAGATGACAGATGTAAATGTTACGGGCCAAGTGGAGCAACCCTTAGCTTGAATCACTCCTAAACAAATTGCTTAAAAAGTAATCAGCATGACTTTTCTCCCTTATCTATCTTCACCTCTAAACATCAACATCAAATGAAACAGGAAATAGCAGACTTGTATTGGGTCACGTCTGTCTTTGTTTGATAAGTTAAGTGTGTACTAATTGGACCAATGCTTGGCATCAAGCCACTCTATCTTTATTGAGTTTGATCCAGTAATAATATGAATCAACAGTGAGAAATAGGTTTTTTGCCATCAGATTCTTCATGCTAAATTCAATTATGAATATATAAGGCTATCTTTTAACTAGATTTACATGTTTAAGACCCCAAATATATTAATGTACCTAGAAAATTGATACAATTAAGGCTAGGTGGCTCTAGAAACAACTAAAGATATTCCTTTACTCTCGGCGAGCTACTTAGAAAAATCAATTATTCATTCACAACTTATGGCACAGCCAATAAATCAAATTATCTACAAAAACTTAAGTATGAGGTTGGCACTTCTGACTGAGCTATATATGTAGTCTACAAGCTAAAATACTAGAAGTAGCTAAGTAAGGATGATTTTAAGCACTCCAGGATCGTCATAGGCTCGAGCCACATGCACTTTTGATCTTCCCAAAAGGAGGAAACTAGAACTCACACCCATCGGGCTCTATCAATGATTTCCTTAAAGAATAACACTATACCGCACGATTAGTATCCATCTAACACCTTGAATAGTGTAACATCAGATGCTTTCATAGCTTCCTAATGTTCTCTAATGATAAGTGTTGTTAACTTCCAATAAGATAACCTTCAAATATTCTAAAATTCACACAACTTCAATTTCAAAGTTCAAATTACAGCAGGGCAATCACTCTGAAAATCAAAGATAATCTCCTCACACATCCATTCACCCTCAATATGATCATGCTCTTATACAAGAGAACATCAACAAAGCAACTTTGACTTGCTCTTATACAGTAAGAAAAGGCAAAATTTTGACATTGACAAGATTATAATTTGTCTGATGAACCAAATTCAAGCTCACCATTGTTAATATGTATCGAGTGGTATCAACTATGAGCATATACATGGTCGAATCAGTAATGCATTAAAGAAAATTGCAAAATTAATCAAACTTCTAGGCCAACATCCATCTCAATCACACCAAACCCTAATGTATACTACTAATCAACATTTGATCAAACAAAAAAAAAAAAAACTTTGACTGAATTTTGGTGTTATTACCCAACAAAAATCGTTGCATATGCCAATTACCCAAAAACCCAAATCATCCAAAAAGATTAATACCACAACAACTGCAAAAAAAAATCCAAACTTTATCAACAAATTAAAACAAAATCAAGAAACTTACCATGAAAAATATCATAACTTTCTTCGAGATTATGCTAAAAAAGATTAAGGGTAATCTTAATCTTGATCTTGGTGTAGAGATAGGCAAACAGAGAGATTAAGACGAGCTTCTTGACATTGCGAGCGTTTCAAGGCGGTGCCACCGCTAGAACAGAGCGATTTAACGGCTTCCAATTGAGATGGGCAAATAACGGCGACAAGACAGTCGGAAAAAGCGCGGTTAAGGTGGCGGCAAGCTGATTTTCTCGCCGGACCCGCCGGAATACGGCGATGGCAGTCGAAAAGAGCGTTTTGTAGTCTCTCACATCCTCCTTTTCTCACACCTTCCTTCCAATCTTCTTCCATTTCTCTAATCCCCCCCCTATGACCCTCCAAAAGGTTACGAAGACTAGAGTGTATCTGTGTTAACTTACAATATATACGTAACATGTATATTTAGAAAGAAAAACGTAGTTAAAAAGAAATCGAAAAGTGTAAGTTATTTAATTGAGTGTACAATAGGTTTTTTAGTCTTTCTTTACACACATAATATTAATTTGGTTGTTACTAACCCTTTTTTCTCAACTTTCAAAGTGTCTAACTTGTAAAGTTAAGTACGTATTATTCTATATAATTGTAGAAAAAAATTATTACTTCGTTACTATTTTAGACTTTATACTTCTATGGCTTTACTTCAAGACTTAAGAGCAGGATAAAACCTAATAACCAAGCGTAAATTGTCGTAGTATATAGAGTTTGACGGGAATTTGAGGATAATATCTATATATCATCACTTTCATCATTAATTAAGTGCTTATGTATGATGGATAGGCTTAGCCGCTTAGGCTATCTCAAGAGATTGAACATTTGCTCTCAATCCATACTCTAATTTAAATACAAAGTACCTTATCAAAATGTCACTTACTATTTGAATATTTATATTTTTAAACACAAGTGTTAACTTTAGTATCAATTCTAATATTGATCATTATGTGCTTACATATGTGGATAGGCTTAGACTATCTCATGAGATAGAACATTGATCTCAATTCATACTCTAAGTTCAATACAAAGTACCTTATTAAAATGTCAATTACTAATTATTATTTTAGGTATTTATATTTTTAAACACAAATGTTAACTTTAGTATCAACTCAAATATTGATTATTTCCACATGAATGTCTATCTCTTTCCTTTTAAGAAATATTATGAAAGTACAATTTAGGAAAACAAATAATGCATTGCTTTGAACTTTGAAGTAGTATTTTGATATAATTGGTTTGTAGATGCACCACCGTTAAAAAAAACCTTAAAAAAACCCAAAAAATAAAATAAGGGAAATATATCAAAATTATTATATCCTTCCATTTTTATAAGATTATAATTTTCATAATTGTAATCAAAGATTTCACCAAAAAAACATGTCTAGGTTCAAAGGAGGGTGTAGGCAAAGTATGATGCATTGCAATACAGATGATCTGAATCCACCAAAGCTGACTCTATTCCTTTTCTTGTCTTTTTGTGTCTTCCCAAAAACCACTCAATTTTCTCTTTACATTTCTACATTTTTTTTTCTTTTAATTTTTATATGGTTTTTTTTTGTTTTTACAATTAAAAAAAAAAACTTTTTAAACTTTAATCCCTGATTCCCTTTTACAATCCCTACCTAAAAATTGCGTAACTTTATACTCCGGCCGTCGTCCCTTCGTCGGCGCAACAACCCCACCTCAAATAATCAGAGATTGATGCCAATTTTCAGTGGAATGTTTTTTAGGCATATTTTGTGGTAGTAATTTATCAATTTTTATATTGAGTATCAAGAATTTCAATCTGGGTTATTATGGGAGAGCTCGAGGAGATTGGTCATGATTATGGGTAAGTGCTCTAATTTTATTATTATCTTGTTAATTTTTTTTTTTTTTTCAATTGGGGGTTTTTGTTGGATATATAATTAGGGCTTGAGTATTATAAAGATTGATTTTTTATTGGAATTGGTGTGATTTATTTGCTGAATTATCGTTGGTTGAAGCTTAGATTTTGATCAATGATTGAATTTGTGTATAAACAAAACAATTTAATTGAATTATATGTAAGTGCTAAGTGTACTGAATTTCTGATTTTGTTTAGGGTTAGCACTTAAAAGTATGCATTATTTAGGGTAAATGTGGAATATTTAAAAACAAGAAGAATTATTGAATTTGTTGGGATTTTTCTTAAAAGGTGAAAATTTGATTTGGGTTTATTTGATTTGCTTGTTTATTTGGAATGATTGTAGGTCGGATATAGAGGTTGATGACTTAAGGTGCGGGAACATTGCGGAAAAGGATGTTAGTGATGAAGAAATTGATCCGGAAGAACTCGAAAGGCGAATGTGGAAGGATCGAATCAAGCTCAAGCGAATGAAGGAGAGGGAGAAAGTAGAGGCCCAGCAGGCTGCTGAGAAGCAAAAGCCTAAGCAGACGAGTGATCAAGCTAGGAGGAAGAAAATGTCAAGAGCACAAGATGGGATTTTGAAGTATATGTTGAAGTTGATGGAGGTCTGCAAAGCGCGAGGATTTGTGTATGGAATAATTCCGGAGAAGGGAAAGCCGGTTAGTGGCGCGTCTGATAATTTAAGGGCTTGGTGGAAGGAGAAGGTCAAATTTGATAAGAATGGTCCTGCTGCAATAAACAAGTATGAAGCTGACTGTTTGGCAATGAGTGAAGGAGCTAGTAATGGAAATGGTCAAAACACTTTGCAGGAATTGCAAGACGCTACTTTAGGATCGCTGTTGTCGTCGTTGATGCAGCATTGTAATCCTCCTCAGAGGAAATTTCCTCTAGAGAAAGGTGTGCCTCCACCATGGTGGCCTTCAGGAGATGAAGAATGGTGGTCTAAGCTGAGTTTGCCGAAGGGTCAGAGCCCTCCGTATAAGAAACCACATGATCTGAAGAAGATGTGGAAAGTTGGGGTTTTAACTGCTGTGATCAAGCACATGTCTCCTGATATTGCAAAGATAAGAAGGCTTGTGCGGCAATCTAAATGCTTACAAGACAAGATGACTGCTAAGGAGAGTTCAATTTGGCTAGGGGTTTTAGGTCGGGAGGAATCCCTTATCAGGCAGCCTAGCAGTGATAATGGAACGTCAGGTATTACTGGAAGTCCACCAGGCCCGCGTGGTGAAAAGAGAAAACCTGCTGCTAGTAGTGATAGTGATTATGACGTTGATGGCATTGATGAAGGTGCAGGTTCTGTTTCTTCTAAAGATGAAAGGAAAAATCAACTAAGTGATGCAGAAACAATGGGTGAACCTGTGATCAATAATCGTTCTTCTTCCCGGAGTAAGAACCCTATTGAGAAACAAAATAAGAGAAAAAGATCACGTGGAAAAGCGAGCTCAATTGATCAGCAAACCACCCCTTCTATGGATGATCAGCAGTTGGCAGCTAGTGTTCCGCAATTGGCACCTAGCGATCAGCAAGCTGCACCATCTACAAAAGAGAATTTGGTGGGTGAACCTGCAAGACCTGGTCTTGTGTCTGACTTGGACCATAATGATTTCCAGATGCATGATAACCAGCCGGAGAATGGCTCGATATTTATCGAACCCTTGGTTTCTATGGACAGTGATATAATGGGGCAATTTCATCCTCCAGCCTCTGATTATAGTCAGTTTAGTCACTTTTCTAATGTCCGTCCTCCCCATTTGATGTCTGGACATAACATGTTTGTTGGAGGCCAATCGTTCCACCATCCAACGGTACAAGGTGCTGAGTTGCAACACGGTGATCCTTATTATCCATCAATTCAATATGGGCAAAGACTTGATGAGCAGCGTTTGCAGCATACCATTAGTGAACCCCAAACTAGGCAAGAAGCTGTTGGAATGCATCTTCCATCCCTTAATACAACCGAGAATGATATCACTGGAGGCCACTTGCACCATTATGGTGTTGATGCATTCCAGGAAAAGAATCGACCCTTTGATAGTCATCTTGGATCTCCCTTTAATGGTCTTTCTATAGATTTTGATCAATTTGATACTACTTTCCCTGAAATTGAGGGCTTTGGTTTAGACGAGGATTACTTAGCTGGTGATGACCTTGACATCTTGCAATACTGTGGAGCTTAGAATGGCGGAGTGGTTTTTTTGCAGCTAAAACTGTGAGTCGTGATTGTGATTTTCTTGCTGATATCTTCAGACTTTCATGCTGTGACAACAATTTAATTTAGCTTAATTTTCTTTTTCAGGCAACGCTCCAGGCAAGCTGAATTAATGATGAAGTTTGAGCTTGTGGCCTGTATAGTTGTCAGCTTGAATAGTCCTTAAAGTTTCAAGTTACTAGATTAGTTTAATTCATTTATCCAAACAACAGTACAATGATCTGTTCTTTAGTTGACATAGAAAGTTCGGGATTTGACATTATGATATTGATATGTTTGGATTAAATAAATTTTGTATATTTGGTTGGTTGATCTTAATCTTCTCATTGCTAGGCATTGAAATTCTTCAGGTTTGATAATGATTGTAACAGTTCTGTTTAAGGTGGAAAATAAAACGTTATGTTCAACATTGTGATTAGTAAAGGATAGGCTAGACTAGAATATCACCAAGAATCTGCTTCATGATTTATTTCGCTGTTTTTTTCCAATAGAAATTTAATCTTTATACAATGAATGAGGCATTATATTGTTTCAGAACCTTTAATACCTATGGCAAAACATATTGCCATAATTGGAGCAGGAACATTTGTAAAGAATCAATATCCCCAGATTATCTGAAATTTCTGATCTTGTTTCTGTCAATTATATTTGGAGTCGTTCTCAGGTAAGCATTACTCTTTTACTTATGAAATATTGATAAACACAAAGAGCTAGTATTTCCAAATGTAAGTGGGGGAGATGCTGGTCTTTGTAGTAAGGAATCCTCAGTTGTTGGAGTTGCTGTTGTTCTTGCTGGCCAATTCAGGTCTCTTTCTCTCTCCTTTTTTTGTTTATTTATTTATTTTTATTTGTGAACTTTTATGTTGTTATAATGCCTTGATGAAATTAATTCAGCATGTAAAGAGATCATATACTTTCTAACTTCAGTCATACTATATATGCTAAGAAATAAGTTTGTGTATTCTGGTTGTGTTTAGGCTATGCCATTAATGTAGTAAACAACATGACAACACTGAAATTTTTTGTTTTAATTAGGTTTGATTGCATAGTACTACGTATTTTGTATCAGTTAGTTTATTAGCTTCACACAGCTTTCACTATTTCTTGCGCGAGGGGAATTTTTTTCTGTTGGGGGGAGTTGGGTGGCGGAGTTTGTTTATATGCTTAAGAGTGTAATAGATACAAACAATATAATTTTTTGCCAACTTGTTTTAAATTCTTTAGATTAAGGACTAAGGAAAGACATTGGTTAGTCTTCTGCTGCTGTTGGGATGGTTATCCTTATGATTGTGTACCCAAATTCTGGTGTATTAATTGAATCTATAATATGAGATCCATAATTTCTACTCATCTCAAGAAGCTATGGACAATTTATTTGCATCTTGACGTTCATTGCTTAGGTAGATATGACTCTGAGACTGCTCAAGGAAGGCAAGCATGTGATCCAAGATAACCCCCCCCCCTCTCTTTTTCTTCAACAATGGCCATCAATGCTTGTAATCGTGGAATTGTTGGTGATGAGAAGGTTTCAGTCCAATAAGCGCAGAAATGGACCTTGGTTCAACAAAAAAGCAGCTGCTGGAAGTGAGTGATATTCAACATTTCAATTCAACCATTGAGCAAGTAGTAGATTATTGAACAGAAAGCTTAAGGAACACTATTGATTCTTACGGCTCATCTTACTCAATCAGTCCGTAGATATTTGCTTCAGAAGCATGGAAGGTCTGCTTTTGAACTACTCTGCTTTAGTTTCACATATGAATAGTTAGTTTTGTGGTAGACTAGTGAATGTGTGTCTTGCTGAATATGGTGATTGGTGTAATACTTTATATTTCTCTTTTGGGTGTGGATGTACTTGCTCTATCTTTTTTTTCCCAATCTTGTTTACTCCCTCTATCTTCCACTGGACCGGGGTGCTCAAAAATTCAAAAGTAGTTTCTGTTGATAATGATTGTAGCTTTCAAACTTGTTAAGGCCACAATAATGGTTTGATCTGCTTATTAAGTTAGTTGTTTACTTGATTAGGACTTAGTTTGCTCTTGATTATTACATCCTAATCCTAATTCTTAAAGTTGAGTGGATTGTGTATGATTTTCTGATTTCTAGTCTCTATGGACCGATGGGGCTGGGTGGCCTCTGCCAGTGGGAACCCACTGACAGTCCAAAGCCTGGATAAAGGAGGAGGGTTACGGTAGGCCAGTGATATCCAGTGTAAAACTTTCACATTGCTTGACATAAGCCACAATGATTGAGACTAATACTAGGATGGGCGACTTCCTGGGAAGTCCTCATGTTGGTTCATATAGCCGACCCTACTTATGGGATCAAGGAAGCAGAAGAAGACATCCATTTTTCGTCATTTATCATCTCTACCTCTTAACCGATTATCTTAATCTGCATTGTTCTTTCGGATTATGTATGCTAAAGACTATGTAGTATATAGATTACTGTAGTGATAACAGCAGTTTAAAACATCCTGTCAAAATTTCAATGGCTTACTAGATGGGTTCATCATGCTAGTTACTCTTTTATTGACATTTATCTAATAAATCTGGAATCAATGAGGCTGATGAGGTGGCCGTTAGGTTGCATTCTTGGATTAATGTCTGTTAGATTTTGGCTCTTACATATTTTTATACATCTGTTTGTGCAGGTATCCCCTGAAATTTCTAGTAAACCAATCTGGGCTGTTGCAGAATATTACAGATTTGAGCCTGGTTTCATTGAGGTATATGGTATTCTACTGTGCTTTTGCCTGTAATCTATCTGCCTTTTTTGGAGTTTCTCCTCGGTTAAAATACCTATTGGATGAACAGGGCAGGCGGCTAGTCGAAGAAATAGGAGATATGATTAGTGTCCAAGCTATTGTGGAAGGATCAATGAACAGTTCTTGGAGGAGGAACTTCACTCTAAGTGTTCCAATATTCCATGGCTAGTTGGCTGCTATATTTACATTTCCTTTTGTGAATCCCTTTCAAATGAGGCTTTTAGAAATAAACGTCTATGCTTTTGGTGGACGCTTTTAGAAATAAACGTTTATGCTTTTACTTGTAAGGTCTGTATTTCTAGACATATATGCTAATATGCCTCTTTAGCAAGTTTTAAGTTACCAAATCATTCATGAATGCCTCCCAGCTTAGAAAGTTGCTTTTTAGAGGTTCGGTTCAAGGGTTCAACTTGTTTAGGTCCATAAGTACGAATCTTCCTCTATGGATCACTCACGAATGCCTCCCAGCATGACTTGATTTACTAGATAACTGAAGTGATGTATTTGATCGGGCAACACGAGATGTGTAAATGATTTTACTAGTCATTCATATATTGGAATGATGTTTTCTTGAATGTGTATTAAGATATGTGTGTTTAGTCATATATTTGAACAGGAAACACGAGATGTTATCTTCTCCAAGCAAATGCAGGATCTAGTTGAGCTATAGATGATGCAGAAAGCCGGAATTTGACATTGTGTTATTGATATATTTGGATCCTATGGATTGTAGATATTTGGTTTGGTTGATTTTAATCTTCTTATTATGAGTAGGTATTGTAACAGGCTAACAACGCGGTTTAAGGAGGAAAAGAAAACAGTGTGTTCAACATTGTGGTTAAGAAGTCAATACTTTATCAATAAACCTATCTAAAGAGTAAAGATATCCTGTATAACGATGCGAGTACCATTGAAAGCCAGTATGTGACCAATATGGTGAAGTCTTCAACAAAAGTCTTATTCGATACGTATTGTTTTAGTTATGGATTAGTAGCTGTTATCGAGCTAATTGTTTAAGTTTTAAAATGTTAATTTCATTTACATCACATTCTTATATGGAGTATAAGCATGTAAGATCAATGTCAATCAAATGATGCTTCTCTCCTTAAACACCGACACCTGCACAACTCAGGTCGTGCCACCTGTCCTGTGGAAATTTCCATTTGCATACTCATCATTACACACTACAGAAAGGCCCGTTTAATTTACTTTGTTTTTGGGTCATCATAAATGGGTAGTATTATTCTTTGAGATGGTAATAAGCCCAATTTAAGATACACCATTGGGCTGGATACTGGATCATGGGATATGCCAGAGATTTAATGAAGCTTCAACTCGTGTTTGCAACAATTTACTGCTGCTTATGTTCATATGCATGCAGTTATTTGTTCTAGACTATTTTTTGTTGGAGTGGAATTTGGAATTGTAACGAACACTTTGATCTATACACTGTAACTTAAATAGATATTTGTTGGGAAATTATTTCGAAGTGTGGTAGAATTTTGTAGTAATCGAACAGCTAAAAACAAAAATCGATGTCAAACAAGCATTTTTTTAAATACTATTTAGAGAGCCATAAAAACAAGTAAGAAAAGTCAATTTTAAAATTTCTTATAATCTAAAGGAAAGATTTAACCAACCGAGTTACCCCTCATTCTCTCATATATTCAACATTAAAATGCTACTGTAGTGATTACTTTTATTTTTGGCGAAAATGTCGACATATAAAAAACCAATAAGAAAGTCATTTATCAAACATAGAAAACCATAAGTGAGCACAAAAAATTGGTGGTAATGGAGTAATAAGTATACAGAAAATATCTAAGCAATGCAATGCCACGTGTTATGCTACTACTCTTTAGCATGGAAGTGTGCACTGGTCGTTTTCAAAAAAATAATTAATTAGTCACCATCCAATAGAACAAGGTCTTTGGTTCTTATGATGCTAATATCTTAACTAACACCCCCACCTCCCTTCTCTCCCGAAGCATCTAGAAAAAGTGAATCAAACATGCTAACGTTTACTCTTCACTCACCACTAATACTTGTTTTTAGAGATATTTCCCACTTATTACTTAATAATTAAGTAGAGTCAAACCTATGTACACTTTTTAATTTTTCTATTAATAATAAGGTATATTAGTGTATACGAGTACTATTTTCATTTCACTATACACCATAAATCCATAATAATGTGTTACGGAATCCTTGTTATGGATCTTAGTTTGATTAACCAGATTTTAAGTTTTATTTTACAAAAAAATTCAACTAATTCATGATTCTACAAGATAGTAGGAAACCTCTATCACTAAATCCAATGTCAAATTTGTACTCAACTCATGTTAGGTGAGATTTAACATCCAATTATCTGGTTTCGAGTGTAGTTGAGATCCAAATTTGTTCATCAGTTTAAGACTGAACTCACATCGTCGGTTCATTCTTCCGCTCATACAAGATTAATATCCAATCATCTAGCTTCGAAATGCAAGCGGGGGTAATTAGTAAAGAGATTAGCTAAAATTAATAGTATATGAATGAGACGTATGACCCACAAAGTAGAAGATATTTCCCAAAATATCAAGAGCCCTAGATATTTTCACCATCACTTTTTCAAACTTCTATTAATAGAACTATAAATACTTCATTTTAGCTTACTCTTTTAGACCATCAACAAGACAACAAATACAAAAATTCCTGCACTTTTCCGTCTTTCTCATCCAACTCTTCTTCTTCGTCATATACTTACTTTTCCGGCGAATAATGGGTCCCACAAATGGCGGAATCGTCGAAACACCGACACTCGATATCGAAACCCCCGGAATCCTCCAGCGCGTGTCCGAGGAAGGCGGCGGTTACACCTTCGCACGCATGGCGGCGGCGGCACGTGACGGAGACGCACGTGCAGCGGAGGTGGCGCGTGAGATGGCGTGGGAGCAGCTTCACTGTGGACCATGGCACTCTGTGTTGCCCATTTGGAGGGATGCTTATTCAATGGCGTGCTTACACGTGGCGAAACACCATTTCGCCGGAGGTGACTTCTCGGAGACGATTAGGGTTTTGGATTTGGGGTTGATTATGGGTGGGACCCTTTTGAGGGTTGACTTGGAAAATGCTGTTGATAAAGTTATGGCGGTTTTGGAGGAGAGAGAGAATGGGAGTAACAATGGTGAAGGGAGTGATAATGGTGGTGGGTTGTTGTTTTCTTCTGCTGATTTTAATGAAGCTGAGGTAAGGTTCGTTTTCTTTTTTTAATTTAGTATTTTTTGGATGATGATCTAATTTTGATTCAGTTTTGATGGTTGATTTCATGTTGTTTGGGAAATTTGAGTTGGGATTTTGTAAAATTGAATTGCTATTAGCAATGTGTTTTAGTGAGCTGTATTGATATGTTTTTCAGCTTTTTTAAAGGGTTTTGGGATTAATTTGGGAAATTTTGTTTATAATATATTGGGCTGATTTGTGTAGTTAAATCAATTTATGTGTGATTTGATGTTGTTGTTGTATGATCACTGGAGATGAAATCATCATTGGGATTTTGGATTTGATGATGTTGTTGTATTGATTTGTCATGAAAATTGTCAAATTCAACAAGTCTGTGTAAGTTATGATGCATTTTCTGGGATATTATATTTGGTGGGTTATTATGATCAGATGATAACTAGAGATGAATTGTCATTGGGATTTTGTCTTTGATAATGTTTTTGTATTGATTGGTCATGAAAATTGTCAAACTCAACTAGTCTGTGAGAGTTATGATGCCATTTGTTGGATTTTTTATTTGGTGGGTTATTTATGATAAGATGATCACTAAAAGATGAAATCTTGGTCAGTCCACAAGTGTGTTTAAGGTTTCCATGATGATGTTGTATTGTTTGGTTATGAAAATTATCAAACTCAACAAGATTGTGGGAGTTATGATGCATTTTCTTTGTATTGCTAAGTTATTAAATGTTTGTAACTTTAGATCTTGTTATAATTTGTTAATTAGTGGAGTGTTGCTTAAAAAATGACTGAACTTGATTGTTGATTATAATTGGACTGGTAGGTTCTCAGGTCATTGCCTGCAAATTCACTGTCTTCGAAGCTTGTTGCAAGACGCTCTGGGTTGTCATTGGAAGGGTTCCTTCGTGACTATTTTCTAATGGGTTTGCCTGTTATAATCAGTGACTCGATGTCCCATTGGCCCGCTAGAGCTAGGTGGAACAACATGGAATATTTGAAAAGAGTGGCCGGTGGCCGAACAGTACCTGTTGAGGTGATTAGCTGATGACTATTTCCTCTCAACTCTACTTATGGGCAAGTATACCTCTTGATAATATTATTTCTTTTGACTGTTTCTTATTTTAAATATACTTTTTTGCTTTAAGATGGTGTGTTAATCAAAAGCAGGCATTTAATCGTTGTTTGCTGTGACTTTGGCTAAATGATGCTGTAAATTTGCAGACATAATCACCATTCCCCCTAGCCCCGTCCTGTTTTAGGCAATACCTGTGGCTTCATCGTCAATTTTGTTGGACTATTCTTATAATTAGGACTTTGACCTTTGAATCTATTCAGCTATGCTAGCAAAGGATTTGATGAACTATGTTCACTTTGTTGTGCTCTGATACTTGTTATGTCTAAGTGAAACAAGAAAAGATGTAAAGGAGGTTACATACAGTTTGCATACGCTTGTATGAAAATTGGGAACATTGAAAAGGGTATTTGATTCTGATTCTTGGGAATGTTGGGGGGTAGTGGAGAAGCTTGTTTGAAATTTGTGAACCTTGAAAAAGGTTTTTTTTTTTTTCTCTGACGTTTTTATTTTTGCTGAACTGAAATCACTTTTGGCAAAAATAATGTTGAGTAATGTTTTTCTTGTTTTACATGGTAATTACATTACACCTTCATAGCACTAAATCATTATATAGTAACTTGGACAATGGATCTGTTGTTTTTAATTTTGCCTCTATATTCTAAACTTTCCCATTTTTCATTCCACTATCAGCAATCAGTTACCAACTTACCAGTCATGGAAGTATGTGATTGTAGTATACATATTGTAGGCATCAGCACTTTCCATAGTGGGTTTCTGCACCTAAAGGATTGTTGCACTGAACATGATATCATTGCAACAAATTTGTCGCCATGTCCTGTTTTTCAACCACTGCTGATTTGTAATTTACCTGAATCTCCTATCCTCCACTCTAGGGTTCTTTGGAAAAGCTATCTACATAAATGCTTTTAGTTAACTTTTTTCAGGTTGGAAAGAACTACCTATGTTCCGAGTGGAAGCAAGAGCTTATCACGTTTTCCCAATTTCTGGAACGAATTCAATCTGGCAGCACTTGTGCAGCTCCTACATACCTAGCGCAGCATCCTTTGTTTGAGCAGGCATGTAAGCTAACATGCAAGATTTTTGTGTGTTTAGCTATTGATACATTATGTTCATGCAATTACTTGTTGGTTCTAGTGACAGATAAAAGAGCTTAGGAAGGACATTCTTGTTCCGGACTATTGTTATGCTGGTGGCGGCGAGCTGAGGTCAATTAATGCTTGGTTTGGTCCTGCTGGAACTGTAACTCCGTTGCACCATGATCCACACCATAATTTACTTGCTCAGGTATGATAAAACCATGACAAAATTATGATTCTGATTGTTTTTAATTTTTTTATTTTTTTTTATTTTGCATCCTATGTCAACTTTAGATTCCATTTGGTTCAATGGTCAGTTGTTATCTCAATCAATTCTATCGTGATCTTATCTTCTGAAGGCTTGTGACTTCTCCTCTACCAGGTTGTTGGCAAGAAGTATGTAAGACTCTATGCAGCCTCTCTGTCCGAGGAACTTTATCCGCATTCTGAAACCATGCTACGCAATTCCAGCCAGGTAGGCCTTTGTTCCTTTCTCAATAGGTTCTATTTTGTTTCCTGTATGATAAATGGAAATGTATATTGCATATAGAACATTACAACTTCACACTAATTTCTGGTGTTTGAATGCTGTTAATACCTGTTCAGACTTGTATCTTATCATCTACATTCTTTCATCTGAGATCACTCTGATGAGGTGGTAAAAATTTTGTTTGTAGATTGATTTAGATGACATAGATGACAATGCATTTCCGAAAGTGAGGGACTTGGAGTTCATGGACTGCATTTTAGATGAAGGTGATATGCTATACATTCCTCCTAAGTGGTGGCACTACGTGCGATCTCTCACACCAAGCTTATCAGTTAGTTTTTGGTGGAGCAACCCTGAAGGTTCACCCTGAGTTGGCAGTATCCTATTTGCTTAGATCGCGGAAATTTTATTTCAAAAAATTGATAGAATTAGGGTGATAACATAGACACTCGCATTTGCTACGATGTCATTTTGATGTATATAGACATTCAAATGATGAATGATTGAAGCGTTTGGTCAGTCCGAACCTCTGAACTCGTGCATTGTGAAATGTAATTGAATGCTTTCAAGCATCTCCTAGATATTTTGTCAAATAAACTTCATTAGTCAGTCCTGCTCTTATGTTCTGTGTTTAGTAAAATTATATCTTATTTTCATAAGAAGATATTAGAGATTTACAGTAAAATTTTGAGTCTAGTCTCAGAAACTGTACCTATTTCATGACAGAAACCTTCCATTTGACGTCAATGTCTTAACCAATACGTTCAAACGAAGGCGGTTTGTAAAGGTTAGGGGTGCATGAGAGAATGGCATATGATGAGTCATTTTCAGCCTCTGGCCATCCTCACAGATTAAGCATCTGAATCCGTTTTTTGTTCGAGTGGTCGTTATTTCAAGTCAATCATTGATAATTTACTTGCATTATAGTGATCATATCACCATTCCCACAAATATGCTCATGTAACATCTACATGGGACCCTAGAAGCGATGAAAGCTGAGACTGGCACAAGAATGATCTGAGGGACGAAGACGTGGAAGAGCCTTGGGCGGATATAGGTTCAATAATATCAACAAATATCTTCTGCATACACTGGGAAGATGAAATTCAGCCTCATTTCATCCTAGACAATAATTTTTTCTTGGACGTATCGTTTCGAAACTTTGTGTAATCAGGACAGTGTGCCCTGGTTTTGTAGTATATGATGTATGTACCTTCAAATGTACTTGTTAGTCTTTACATAATAATAATAATGCATCAAGAAAATGATTACTAAACTACCAGTAGAAATTTTGAACCATCAATTTATATGGCCCCTTAAAGTATTTGTCTAAGAAAGATGTGGAAGAAGAATGGTCGATTGAATGAAGGTTTGATAATATCAGGAAATATCTGTGTTACTGTTTATGGTTTAGGATAGTGAAAATTCAGCCTCATTTTTTATGCGACACAATAATTATCTTGGTCGTTTTGTCACAATTTATTCAATTATTAGATGACCCTAATTTTGTATGACAATAATTTGTACCTTTAATGTACTCGTTAGGGTCATTACATAATGCATCAGGATATTAAACGAGTATGGCCCCTTGTCTTCAACTACATATCAACGGAAGTTGAACCATAAAATTAAGAGTGGTTAGGAAATATTCGTCTTATTATTTTGATATTTGACTTTTTCTAAGATAATAAGAAATAATTTTACACTCGTAAACGTAAATAACAGATGACTATGCATGACAATACTCAATCATGTCATGCCTAGGGTTGGCCCTGGCTTATCAACATGGCGGGCATCACGCCAAGCTTGTACACACAACTTGTCTTAAGAATTCCTTTCAAAAAAAGGATTTTCTAAATCTAATTGTTGGACATTTTGGTTTGTCTATTCAATGAAATGACGGAAATTGATTGTTGAAGAGTAATACAATATCATACAACATTAAAATAACACTACCATTCCCTCAAATATATACGTAGTATATAAATAACACTACCATCAAAAGTAGGACTGTATGAGTACTATTTTATTATGGACGGGTAGATGAAAATGAAGGAGATAGTGAGAATGCTAACGAAGTATATAGACTTGGCCAATTTTCACCTTCACTAGTTGTTTTAGTGACATGTATTTGTGAGTTTTGAATTGCAATATGAACTTATTAACTCAGAAGAACTAGTCATGCATAAATATTATTCATTTAAACAAGTAGTAAATAAAATTAATCTACACTAGAAGACTTGATTGGTTGCAACTCGAATAAAATTAACCTACACTAGAGACTTGATTGGTTGCAACTCGCTAAGTAGACACATCAACCAATCTTTGCTTGAAATGTTCTACTTGATGATGTATGTTAAATGGGATTGAAAACGAGAATGATCAAGGTAGATTGTACTAGTATGCACAAACATCACGAATTCACTAGCACATGTTATACAATTCAAGTAATTAGATCAAGTAAAATCGGTAAATATGACCCAATATATCCATACAACAAGCAACCCTACGTATTAAGGTACATACAAAGTAGAATAAAATAGTTTACCAACTAGCTACACTCATTAACACCGTCCCCTAAGGTACATACATATTTTTTGGATGTTTGTAATAACTTGAATTGTGTGGATACCCCTTTCTAAAGATCTAACGCATAGCCCCTATACAACATATACTAAATTACTAATATCAAACCTTTATTCAAATATGTACTCGCATTGATGAGGTTCCATCTCATAACCAATACCACGGATGGTAATTAAGACACGTGAACTACTTAACCTATTAGATATTCAAACATCTTGCGCTCTTGACTTAAACTACTTATTCGGCGCCTTAGAGCCTTCGTGTAATATTTTGTCAAGGCTCTACTTTTCTTAACTTTATCTTTCAAACCTTACGATCTAACCCATTTGCATATTATACGTAGGTTGAAATTGTTTTCAGCAAAAAAAAAAAAAGTCAAATATATGTACGTAGTTATGTATTAGTTGAGATCTAGCATCATTGTTTTCCTTGAGAAAAATTCAAAACCAACAAAAGTCCGAGATCATGACAACATAGCATTACTCATCAAAAAGAGAAAATATTAACTTTGTTTATCTCTTTAATTAATTGTTGAATGTTTCTGTAATTTGACTTCTTCTATTGTAACTCTTTGTAAGATTATTGATCTTTTTTTATCAAGAAAAAATGGTAAATATGATCCTATAAATACCCATCTCATTTACAACGAAAAATCACAACTCACAAAATCGAAAAAACACAAATCAAAGTAAAGTGTATTTTTCGCGATATCTAGCTTAACTAACTAGCAAAGGCTGAAGAAATGGCTAAGTCTACTTACTTCGTTAGCCTCCTTGCACTTTCTCTCATTTTCATGCTTGTAGTGAACACTGGTGAGTTAATCCACCCCATGTCCCCATTAATCACTGTTAGTATTCTAGCATTAGCTTTATTATCTTAATTAATTTAGTTTAATTTGTTATTAATGCATGTCATAATGTTTATAACCTTGCTTTTGAATGATCAAGAAATGAAGTGTATCCTAGTAATGTATAATAGCATAATACAAATATGATATGATATATATATACACACGCGAAATAACATAATATGCCATGGTCTGGTACAACCGCTATACAAGTTACACATATGGCATAACCTATAACACGACAATAAAACCAAATTATAAGCTTGTTAGTGTTTGTTGTTCAAGATATCTAGTGCAACCGTTATTCAACTTATAAATATTATTTGTTGTCGTATTTTCTAGAAATTCAAATGGCGGAAGCAAAAACCTGTGGATGGTTATACAAAGCTTGGTGGACAGATAACTGCTCCTACAAGTGCAAGAACGTCTGGGATGCCTACTATGGAAAGAAAGAGTGGTACAATGGCAAATGGGCTTGCTTCTGTTACTATGGACCTTGTTAAGATACTGCTCATGCCCTATAATCGATAAAAAGGAGAAAAATCGCGACTTATTTACCCTCTAATAATCTAATTATAATTACTGTGAAATAAATTGTATTATTATGAGAATAATACATATGTCAAAGTGTGGGCTGCTACGTACTTAGTAGAATTGAAATAAGCCTATAAGTTACTATATGTAATATAAATATAACTTGCATGAATAAAGAGGGTTTGAACTTTGAAATCTTTGAATTATATACTTGTATTATATTTCATATTTCTTAGATTTGTTTTTAACTTATCAATCAGTAATTTTTTTTATCTCGATTTTGAGAAAATCTAGATAAAACAAACATTAATTTATAATTCGTAAATTATTAAGCCACGTCAATGTGCTAAACTATTATTCTAGTTTCAAGTAAATGAATAATTGGCTAGCAAAAATAAGCCATACAAAAGTATTAAGTATACTTGTATATGTTAGAAAGCTGAAGCATGAAAATCATTTATTTTTTTTTCGTGGAATTCAAATATTGAGTCTGTAGTTCTGTACCTCATCATATTGTCATTGCGATTTCCATTAATTTTAGCTGGTAAAGTATTGGGAGTTGTGGAGATATAATACATCCGTTACAAGTTATGTGGAACGATTAGACATTTCTCCTCTCTGTTTTATGTCAAATCGTTGCACATAACCTATAACGGAGGTAGTATATAAAACGCGATATCGAATATTCAAATATATTTTGGGTCATTAGTTGCTTTGAGATATCGAAATGGAGGCCCAGTTATCAAGAGACCATACCACTTAATTTCATTGGATCAAGATTGTCCTGTTGGGCCCAGAATATTGAATCACTTAACTACTTAAGGACATCATTAGCCCAGTCCATATAACTGTAGACTGGGCTGAAAACAGTAATTCTTTAAATTAAAATCAATTTGAACTGTTAACATCAAAATCTCTATTATAGAGGAAAAAGAGTAATTATAAAAGTAGCACTATAATGTCTAAAATATGAACAATTCAAATTATATAGTGCTACACCCACGAATGAAAAAGTAAAGAGGTTAATAATAATGCAAATTAAAAGCCATGATATAAGGATAGGTTGTCAACATGATTACATACATACATACCTTTGAGTGCTATATTGAATAGACTAAAGTTTGTACAACTTCCTTGTTATCATATTTGGTGTTTATACCTTAGTAGTTATATATACTTAACATAATCACCCAAATCTAATGTAAAGGCAGAAAAGAGAGAATCGATGATTCATGTTACATACGCTTACGAAGTAACAAGCTAGAGAAGTTTCAGCAAATATATGTCGATTTTTGTGGGGTGGTGAGAGTATTGATTTAGTGATTCGTTCTAATTTTGGATAATGGATTGAGTTCGTTTTCAAAATAACAGTGAAAATGAAAAAAGAGAAATTTATCATTTTTATGATGTGTAACCAAAGTACGGACAACTTAGAATGCAAGAAAGAATCAATCTTCATTTACTTTACAACTACTGAAAGCCTTTTAAAATCACAAGTCAGATAATCTGACAAAATTACAGAAGAATATTTAACCAAATTAAACACTGTATGCTACTTGTTACTTGCATTACAATCAAACCCTCTAGTCTACTCAATCAAATTACTCAACCAAAATATTTAGAACAACCAAATTAACAAAAAAAAAAATGCTAACATTATACTACAGATTTATACCTGCAAAGAACCTTACATCTAAGAATCTTATCTTGGACATAAAACCCTGGCATCACCATTATCTTAACTCGACTTGGACCGTGTCCCTTCTGTTTATCAGTTACGATATCTTCCATATAGTGAGGATCGAACGATCTATTTTCTTCCACCCTTAAGATAGTTAAAGGTGGAGAGAAGGAGAACGCGAGCAAATGAAGCAACCATATACATTTTGCTGCTACGAAAAATGACTGCAGCAATGTTTCAGACCAAGGTCTAGTCCAATTCAGGGTCATAATTATGCAGCTCATTTTCTGGTCACAGAACTTACTAAATTCTTCACTGTAATACTTGGTTCCTTTCTTTAAGACCTCGTTCCAACTCAGGTTTCTTAAAGAAGCAAACGATTGAAACTGTGCTTGCCGTTGCTGCTGAGGATCCAGCAGTTTCGGCATGCCATTTTTCTGAAACACACAGTTCTCAAAATCCTGATAGAATGCTTGATTTATAATCGCCTCTAGATGATAGAAAACCGCCTTTGAGTACCTTGAATTTACTGATAGTTTATATGGTTTTAGGATCACGTTCAAATTCTCAGTAAGTTGTTCATCAGTCTCGTCTATTTGCTCAATCAGAGTCTTGCAGAACTGTTTTA